TTGTAATAATGAAGAGGAAGGGGTGCAATCAGCAGCAAACGTTTCTGTTTGTAACTGATATGTTCGAAGACTGTCTATAAGTTTGAAGAGGGAGTGTGAGGTTCCGGCTAGTCCTTCCCAAACTTAGGCCCCACGTTGGGCGCCAAATGTGAGGTTCCGACTAGTCCTTCCCAAACTTAGGCCCCACGTTGGGTGCCAAATGTGAGGTTCCGGACAAGCTCCGTGGTTTTTACCTCTAACATTAAAAGTAAAAGTGTTCGATGGCTGGACGATTGTGTGAATTTTGAGGAAAAGGAGATTGATCACGCAGAGCAACTACACTTTACAAATGACACTGTAATTCCAGTTCTACAGAAGCAGGGTAGTACAGCAGGACTGGTGGCAGGTCAACACACACAAAAGGTACAGGTGAGGTCGCGAGGGCACTGATTGGAAGGCACACGCACACAACACTACAACACTGGCTCTGCTTTTGGGTATAACACACACACACTATCACTTCACTGTATCACGTAATCCGTGGTGAGGTGGGGCCACTGTTTTCGTACAGGACGGGACGGAGTCAGTCGAGGGGCGCGCCGGTGTCGCGAGGTCAGCGGGGGCCGCGCACAGAGAGGGCCACACACTCCATCAACGAACTCGCGTGCTTCACGTCTCAAATCCAACTGAAGATGCTGACTCCCGCTCGCGCGCTCCTCCAAGCTCCAGGATCCCGCCCTCGCTGCTCGCCGCCGCCGCCGTCCGCTTCGTGGTCCCCGAAGTCCAGCCGAACGTCCGGGGCCTTCCCTCCGGTCCGCTGGGGGGCTGCCGAAAAGGACGAAGTCACCCCGTCGCCCGCCCGCGCCTAGGTGAGGGGGGCAGGGGCTGCGGGGGAGCAGCAGATTTCGGCGGGGGCGCGCTGCATCCGTGCGTGGCCCGTCCGTCGTCCTGCTCGTCCGCTCGGCCACGTCCGGGACTCGGCGGGCGGCCGCCAGCTCCGTCAGGGTGGTCGGCTCCGGGAGGCCAGGCAGGCGGCCCGCGCGGCGCGCGGCCTCGGCTCGGTGGGGCGTGGCGTGGCGCAGCAGCTGGTGGTGCGCGCCTAGGCCAGGCCGTGATCGCCATCCTGGTGGGGCCGCCGATGTCCACCGCGGGACGGACTGGGGAGCGGTGCAGGCGGCGGATGGGGGCAAGCCACCGGGGATCCTCTTCCTGGTGTCTTGATCGCTTATCCTAAATACTTAAGCTAGGGTGGCAAGGTTGGCGGGTGCGGGCCCCGGCTGATCGAACGGTGTTCAATGTCATCGTCAGGGCCGACCTCAAATGGAGGAGGGGGGGGGGGGGGGAGCAGGTCTGGACAGGGCTGGCGACTCCGGGGCTGCACGCCTATTAGTCGGCCCAGCACATGTGGGGACTTTTGGAGACTCGGCCTGCCCATTGAGTTTCCAAGAAGAGGATAGACAAAGCAGCGCTCTCACTCCCACACGCTCCGGCCGCTGTGCCATCCCAGACGGGGCTGCGCTCATGCAGCCCGGGGAGGCTGGGGTCCGGACGTCATAAAAACCAGTGAGGCAAATTGGGGGAGAGGCTGTCAATGACCTATTCCTTGTCCTTGGTCCCTCGCGGGGCAGGCGTCCTGCAGCATGTTTGTGCAGCCCGGAGAGGCGTGACGGGCCGCGAGGCCCGAAATGCAAGCCCATTGAGAAAATGTCCAAAAACACACTTCCAAGAAAGTTAAGAAAATGTCTGCCACCTCACATTACCCCCCCGACGAGATTGATTTGAGATGATCTGCTGAGGATCGAAAATTGATGCTCGTCCAAACTCTCTACTCCGCCAACCGCCTCGCGTTAAGGACTACGGGCACAGGTGTACAAAGAAGTCAGCGTGATGGTCTGAAAGGCACAGGTTGGGCACAAAACTTGGGCCGCACTTTACACACTTTACATCGAGTCTGACACAGCAGGAACACAGCGGCACTCGGTCTAAGCGGTGAGCCTGACAATTGCAATCGACACATATGCCTAAGACAGAGCGGAGCAATTCACACTAATTTTTGTACACACAATGAGAAACATCACAAAAACACATTTTTACACAACACTGAAAAAGAGAATTCACATTGTACAGGGCATGCTTTTCAATTTTACAAATCTTACAAGTCACTGATACATTACATATTTACAAGAAGTCCAAAGAGAGACCTCTGCCCCTGCCGGTACTTTTCTTCCTGGCGGTGCGGAGGGGGTCGCGAGGTCGTGACGTCAGCTGCTATGACCGCCGTCGTTGGGGACCGCGGCCCGGGCCCTCCCGGGCCCGTGCGGTGACTTCCCACGATGGCTCGCGCGCGTGTGCGTAGCGGAAGGGGGTTGGGGCGAGCTCTGGCAGCTCAAGCCCCTCGCGGATCAAGCGTCGTCCTCACCCAGATTGGCCGATCCGGGCCGGGAGAGCGGCGATCTAGCGACCACCCACGTCGCGTCCTGCGCGCGGCGGCGTCGGCTCGTCCTCGTTGCTCATCTCGGGGTCTCCTCTTCGCGCGGGGGCGGGGCGAGCAGCCGCGCTCACCGGGTCGCCAGATGACCTCGGGAGCAGGGGTGTTGCTCAAAGCCCCGCCGGGCAGCGGTGGGTGCCGCGAGGCGCCTCGCTTCTCGGACCGCACGGCGGTCCTGGTGGAGGCGCTGACTCCGCGGCGATGACCTGGGCGCGTGGTGGCCCAAGGCGGTGGTCTCCATCAGGCGGGTGGCCTCGGAGGGGCGGCTTGGTGGCGGCCGCGGGTAGGACCGGGGCGTTGGCGGGGCGGGCGTTGGGCATCGCGTCGACTCGGGGTGGAGGGGCCGTAAGTCTGCGGCCCGCTGACCCCCCCCATTGGTCCGCAACGCGCGGTCGCCGCCAGTTGCCTCCTGCTCCAGGTCCTCGGGGTGCGCCGCGTGCTGTCTGCGGACGGGGCGTAACGTCTCGCGGGCCGTGATTCGGCCGCTGCGGGTCACGCCCAAGGTCGCGGCGCGCGGTGCTTCTACCAACATCGCTGACCCCCCCAGGGCGCCGCGCCGGTGGTGTCCGGGGTGACGGGCGCGGAAGGCTGAGGCTTCTGGGGCCCTGACTCCTCGTAGCGGGCGCGCGCGCGGGCCGCTCGGGCACGGCGGTTGGAGCGCACTCTCTTCGCGGGCGTGGCGCTGGCGGCCTCCGCGTCGACGTCCGTCTTCGGCCGTGCGGCGGCCGCGCTCTTGGGTTGGTCGCGCGGGCGAGGCGGGGGTGGCGGGTGCCTGGCTGCTTCCCACTCCTCGTCGTCGTCGAGCTCGCGCAGGTACTTCCTGACGGCCTTGACCGTGCGGCGCTGGCTCGTGAGACCGATCAGCCCCATCCTGACGGGCCCGGGGAAGTGGCGGGTCAGCAGGCGCACCGTCTCTGCGTCCGAGAGCGGCGGGTCGAGGTGTCGGGCGCGGCGCTGGATGGACACGCACCACTCAGCCATGCTCAGGCCCGTGTCCGCGTCCCAGCGCGCGTGCACCAGCTCGGCCCTCGCGATCTCGTTCTTGGTGTCGGACCAAAACTCGTCGCGGATGGCGTCACGGAAATCCTCGTACGTCCTGAGGCAGCCGTCGCGCCGTTCGGTGTTGGCCCAGTCGCGTGCGCTCCCGCGGAGGCACCTGAGGGCCATGCCCAGTTGCGCGTCGTCGGGCACGCCGCACAGGTCAAAGTGGTACTCGAGATCGTCCAGGAACTCTAGCGGATTCGACCGCCCGTCAAACTCACATGGTGCGTCCTCGCGGTGCGCGACCTCCCTGATGACGATGGTGGGTGGTGCGACGTCGGGCACGACGACGCTGTCCGGTGCGGGCGTGAGGGGCGCCGGCGTCGGGGGCGGCGTCGCGACGTCGGGGAGGGCGTCCTTGCTGGGTGTCGTCTCTGTTGGAGAGGGCGGCGGCGCGACGACGGCGTCCTCGGCGGCGGCGGTGCAGGGGCACGGCACTGGCTGGCGGTGCTCCGACAGCTCCGCTGACGCGCGCTGCAGGGCCACGGTGACGGCCTTGGCCTCCTCCAGGAGGAGTACAAGTTTGTGGCTCCTCTTCTTCATCTTCTTGCGGGTGACCGACGCGGCCTTCGGCCCCAGGTGCGGGCGAGCGGAGGGGCGCGAGCGCCATTCCCCTGACGGGTACTTCCTCCCCTCACTGCGCGGCAGGGCCGACCAGGCCAGCAGGCACACGGAAAAGGCGATCAGGTCAAACATCTTCAAGTTCACTTGCAGTTCACGGTTGATCACTCAAAATCACACAAGTCCAGCCCCGCTGTTGGGCGCCAAATGTGAGGTTCCGGCTAGTCCTTCCCAAACTTAGGCCCCACGTTGGGCGCCAAATGTGAGGTTCCGAC